ACTAGGGCGGCGTCAAGCATGTGAAACCGGGTGAGGATGTCAACCATATACTTGTGTTGAGACAAAACATAGCCCGAGGCAGTGGGAATAACCTCGATACCCAAGAAGTAATCGACATCCCCTAGTTCTTTGAGGGAAAACCGGCTGGCAAGAGCATGCTGAAATGTGGAAAGAGCCGCGGAATTGTTACCTGTGAGCAGAAGATCATCCACATACACTAGGAAGTAGAGAAGAACACCAGAGCGATGATAGACAAATAATGAAGCATCAGACTGGGTCTTCTGAAATCCAAACTCAATCAGAAAGGAGCTGAGAGCAGTGTACCAAGCACGAGGAGCCTGACGAAGGCCATAGATTGCCTTGCGAAGGCGACACACATGCGTAGGACGCTGAGGGTCCACAAACCCGGGAGGCTGAGCCATATATACTTCTTCAGTAAGAGGGCCCTGAAGAAAAGCATTATTAACATCAAACTGCTTGACCGGCCAACCCTGAGATAAGGCAATGGTGAACACAGTGCGAACAGTCACTGGTTTGACGACAGGACTAAATGTATCCTGAAAATCAACACCTGGACGCTGATGAAAGCCTTTGGCCACAAGACGAGTCTTATAGAGATTAATAGAACCGTCAGTGTGATGCTTGATGCGATATACCCAGCGGTTGCCCAGGACATTATAATGGGGCTGGCGTGGGACAAGATCCCATGTATGATTCTTAAGCAAGGCCGCATGTTCCTTGTGGAGAGCATCATCCCACTCGGAATACCTCATAGCCTCTTGCACGGAACGAGGCTCAAGTGGAACCGGTGTGGACACAGTGGTGTTGAGGGCGGGAAACAACCTTTTGGGCCGATAAATGCCAGCCTGGGCCCTTGTCTGCATTCTGTGTGGGCGGTGGACAGGAGGAGGCACGGTGGACACAGCCGTGTTGGGCCGGGGCGAGGAGGGCTCAAGCCCAGGGGGAGAGGGCCCAGCAGGCCCAGGCACGGAAGGGAGAGGGGGCAGGGAGGCCGCTGTGGTCGCCAGCCCAGCAGGCCCAGCCGAGGGAGCGGATATGGGCCGAGGCCCAGCGGGCGCTGAGGAGGAGGCCAGCCCGGGTGCTGATGGCGGAGCAGTGGAAGGATCCGCGCAAGCGGGCCCAGAAGCCGAGGAAGAGGCAGCCGGAGATGCATGAGGAGCAGGCCCATGGAGAGGAATGTGAATAATGTTCGGGCCCATATCAAGTAACCATGAGTCCACTGTGGGGGGATCTGCACATTGATTAGTCGAAAAACCGGGGAAGGAAGTCTCAACAAAATGGACATGCCGGGAAATGAAAATGCGACTAGTGGTAGGGTCAAAGCATCTATAGGCACTACGTTGAGGGCAATAACCAAGAAAAATGCAAGGACGAGACCGGGGATCCAATTTATGAGCAGAGTAGGGACGTAACCAAGGGTAACAGAGACAACCAAACACTCGTAATTTATGATAATTAGGAGCAAGATTGAACAAAACAGTGTAGGGGATTTGACCACGTAAAGCAGACGACGGGAGACGATTAATCAAATAGGTAGCAGTGGAAAAGGCAAAGGACCAAAACAGGGCAGGAAGATTAGCATGATGAAGGAGAGTGATACCCGTTTCAACAAGATGACGATGCTTACGCTCGGCCAGACCATTATGCTCAGGGGTATGTGGTGGGGTAAGAAGATGAGTGATGCCATGAAGGGAAAGAGTAGAGCATAATTTTTGAAACTCGCCACCACCATCAGAATACAGACGACGAATGGTGGTGGAAAAATAATTTTCTACCATTGTGCGAAAAGCAAGAAACACAGAGAGCACATCAGATTTATTTTTCAAGGGATAATACCAAGTATAACGGGAAAAATGATCAATGATGATTAAGTAATAACGAAAACCATCAAAAGAGGAAACCGGAGCCGGGCCCCAAACATCCGTATACAATAAATCAAATGGCCTAGTGCTTTGCAAAGAAGACATGGCAAAGGGAAGTTTGTGACTTTTATTGGAAAGACAGGAATTGCAATGACTACTGACGATGGAGGACGATACTGGCAGGGACTGGGAACGAAGAAGACTGGTGAGAGACTGAGTAGATGGATGACCAAGACGAGCATGCCAGGAGGCGGAGGTTGTGCGAGTGGCAACAAGAGCAAGACGAACATTATCCACATCACTAGGCATCTCATAAACATCTCCATTATTTGCCCCCTTCAGCAGTGGCGCCCCCGTGCGAAGATCCTTCACAACAAAACAATCAGCAAAGAATTCCACCGAAATGGGATTAGTGCGGCAAAGTTTGGCAACAGAAATAAGTCTACGCTGGATGGCAGGGGCACATAATACATCTTGCAAATTAAAAGAAGACGTGGAAGAACGCAAATTAGTAGACCCAATATGTGTGATTTGCAAACCTGAGCCATCGCCAACAAGAATCTCATCCGGGCCATTGTAATCAGAATAAAGAGAGAGATTGCCCAAATCAGAAGTCACATGGTGACTAGCAGCAGAGTCCATTAACCATGGGCTTGAGGAAGAGGGGCTGCCTGTGGAGCCCATATGAGTGACGTGGGCCTGAGCCTGGCGGGCTTGGAAGGCCTGGCGGGCCTGAGGAAACAATTTAAAACACTGATGAACTGAATGGCCCTGCCGCTCACAGTATTGGCAAATGATGGGCTGCCTGCGGTGGGAAGAGGAATCAGCCGAGGATGGGCCATTATAAGGAGATGGGCCATTATAAGTGGACGGTTGGGCCCTGTGATAGTCGGCCCGTGAAGAGCCTGCCGCACGCGGGGACGAGGCCCGGGCCTGGGGACTGAAGGAGCGGGGAGAGGAAAACCCTCTCTGGCCACGAGAAGAAAAGGCAGCGCCGCCGCCACCCTGCCTCTGCTGCTGGTGAGAAAAAAACGCCGTGGGAACAGCTCGGCGCACCTGCGCCTTAAGGTCTGACTCGTATTCAACGAGTGAGTCGACGAGATCTTCCAAGGTAAGACCGGGGCCTCGAGCACGTACAGCAGCAGAAAAGGCCGCATATTCATCTCCCAAGCCACGAAGACAGAGCACCACCAAATCCATATCAGAGACCGGCGCATTCACAAGCGCAAGTTCGGCAGAAATACTTTTCAGATCATTAACAAAGGTCAAAACGTCATTATCGCCCTTGACTGTCTTGGCCAATTTGGTTTTCAGGTGAATAACACGAGATTGAGCACTGCTTGCATAGAGTTTTTCAAGGATGAGCCATGCTTCGCGGGAGGTTGATGCCGCAGAGACAAATGAATAAATAGATTCAGAGATTGAACAGCGGAGGGCATGTAGAATGAGCTTATCTTGGCGAAACCAATATTGATAAGCTGGATTGGTTTGTGTAGCAGCCTCAACCGTGATCGTACGAGAGGGGGCAGTGGTGGAGCCGTCAATAAAGCCGAACAGATCAAGCCCCATAAGCAGCGTCTCAAGTTGAGATCTCCAGGAAGCAAAATTAGTGGGAGTGAGCTTCAGAGGAAGCTGAGCCGCAGGATTGAACGTGACGATGACTGGAATATCAGCAGAGGTAGCAGAGTCATGGACAGTGGAAGCGCCAGACATTTTGGCGACGAACAGAGAGAACAGAGAGTGCCGATGAATGAAGGCAGAAAAGAGAAATCAAGGAGACGAAATTGGATCGATACTAGCTGATCGTTGCTAGCTCTGATACCATGTTGGAACAATATAAATTTGGTAGAGAAGATTGAGAGCAATCAAAGGTAGTTTGCATTTATGATTCTCTGTTCTCTTTATACACGTTTACAGGGGAAGAAGGAAAAGTGGTTCAGAGTTTTAAGGAGAGGTGGAGAAGTGGTTATACAGTAGTGGAAAATAAAAATAGAAAAAGACTTTTATTCTTTTTCTCTAATAGTTACACTTGGCCATTTTCTAGAATGACGGTAGGAGCGAGTCATATCCATAGATTTATTAAAAACTCATGTTTTTTTGGTAATTTTTTCTCGTGGATTCTAACTTTAAAGATTTCAAATCTCTGAAATCCAGAGATATCAAATCTCTCATAATTAGAGAGATTTTGTATCTTGATTTGAGAGATAATTCTTTTCCAAATATATCTTTTTTTATTCCACCGGTTACATCTTCTATATATATCTTCTAATTTTGGACTTCCCTCCACTCCTCAAAACAGCGGTAAACAGAAGCAACACCGTTCAACTTCCCTCCTACAAAATCTATACACTCGTTGCTGCCTATTCTGCCATGAAACTACAAGAAAGCAAGCTATAAAAGCTGACATGGTACTGGTGAAGGATGTTACACTTACAGATCTTTATTATCAGCTCCCAACAGAAGATGATTAATTGACCTTTCTCCAATTGAACTCACTGATTGAATTGTGGCCTATATTATGACTCGGATGTGCTGTTTCAGTTGACTATGTTGCTATGAGTGGGATGAACCACTAGTTTCCTTCTTTTATTTTTGTAATCTACAGCCAAAATGACTACAGCTTGTTGAGAAGTAGTATTTCCCATTTTATGAAGCTTGCAACATTGGTTTTCCCTGCTGCAATTTTTTATATTAGGTCATTTTTTGTTATTGGATGTTAGGGTAATTAGGCACATGTTTCATTTGAAAAGACAATAGTTGGCTAGGATAAACGTATTGAGAAAAACAATTGTGAATATTGTTTTTCCATTTGTTGGTTAAGGATAAATATGTAATTTTGTGCAAAATTAGAATTCTTATTTTTCATTAAATGTTCCAAATCTCAATTACCAAAGAATGAAAATTTTCAAATATTTTTTTTAAAAATCCGTAGAGTTAGAATCTTCGGATTGTTTAGAATCTATGGATTTAGACTCCAATTCTCCAAACGACCTAATAAGCAAACAAGGATTAGATGCGCCCTTCTACCATATCCGTACAAAACAATAGCGCATTTATACAGAATGATAAAGGGGCTCCTCTCAAATTAAATTTTCTAATTGATGATTATAAAAATCACTAGAAAAATGAAGGTAATTTTGAAATACTTACCAACTTTATATTGTTTCCCAGCAACAAACATGTATGAACCATTTCACGAAGTCCAAAGTCTCGATAATTAGCTCTCTGTCTTCCAGTCGAAAAACAACGTCGATGAAGACGTGACGGTGCACTATTTCGCGGTGGGGGATTGTAACTTTTCATTAATCACCATCCCAACCTACTCACGAATATATGCTTAGATGGGTGTGGATCATTTTTCTACTTCATCAACCACGTAATTGTTGAGTCTAACCCCGCCAAAATCCGTAAAAAGCTACCCCTGCTCAAGCTTAACGACAATGCTAGAGATGTAGATAACGTTCATGCCATCGCAGCCTCGTAGACAACAACAGTAACTGTAACATCCCTGCCCTCGTACTAGTATTACGTTATAATTACGTGGTTGTGATTGGGTTACAAAAATTAGTCTTTTGAACCAAAAAAAAGTGAATAGTGGAAGTGCTAGACTTAATTGCAAGTGAAGGAAAGTTTGGGGCCAAATAGACAATTTGGAGGGATGGAGAATTCTAGATAAGGGAGATAAAATCTGCCCATCCTCTTATCTCTCATTTCCTTCTCATCCCTTCCCCTCACTCTCTCCCACGTCTCTCTCTTGCTCTCTTCCTTTCACCTGGTTTCACCACCTCAAAAACCACCACCCCCTTTCAGAAACAAAGAGTGAAAGCTAGAAAGAAAAGCATATCAAGGAGAGGAAGAGGAAGAAGAAGGAGGCAAAAGGGGTGCTGCCAATTTCCGTCCAGCAGCGAGACAGCCTGTGAGAAGGACGATTCCGGACAATCAAACCGTTGGATCGTCCTGATATTTGTAGGTTGGGTTTCATACTTCTTTGGATACGATTTGACCGTTGGGATCATCGATATGATCTCTGGTTCATCGAGGAAAGTCGCTGGACAGAAGGGGTGCGATACTGTTTTTCTGCAGCAGGACAGTAGATTAGAGGTAAGATCCTGTGCGAATCCGCCGTTGGATCGTTCTAGAAATTTGGTATGAGGTTAAATATAGGTGGTTCTTCGAATGGACCGTTCAGAATGTAGTTTTGATGTCGGAGTGGTCATGAACAATTGTTAGAAGAAGGAGAGTTGGTTTTAAAGTGAAAAGAAAGTTGTTGACAGTTTTGAAATGTCAAGTTAAAATGATTTCTGGGATCAAAAGGCTGATCCAAATGGTCTGAAATTTGGATATGTTGTAGCCCTATGAATATAGTTTCAGTAGCAACAAGAATCAACGGATTTGGTTAAGTATCAAGGGAGAAATGATCAAAATGAGGAAGCATGGTAAAGTGTACAATCGTATGACTTCCCTTGTGGTCTTATTGACATGCATGAATACAACCATGATTATGATGATTGTATACGTGTCTTGGTGCTTGAATAACCTGGAAATCTTGTACATAAAGGTAAGGATCAAGCCGGGGGCTCATCCAAAGGCAAGGGCATAGCCGAGTGAAGACAAAGCTGTGAGTAGATTCTAATCTTAGATCTACCTCAACATAATCACAGTATTCGGGTCATGAAGCGGCCCGAATACATATCGGGGTCATGAAGAGGCTCCGGTATAATATGAGAATTTATGGGAAATGATATGGCTATGTGATATGGCTTGTTTGTGTTTATTCATTATCTGCATTTGGTATGAAGTTGGAAATGCATGAATTGTGAATGAGATATGGAAAGACATTTTGTTGATTTATTGTGCGGATTATGAGCAAGTAGTCGAACTTGCGAACCCGTCTTGTCTGTTCAGATTTGGAGTGAGCCATTAGGCTTACTAATCCTGTTCTGCTTGAATAACTCGGAGTAAGCTCTTCAGCTTACATTCCATTCTGTTGTGACTGAGGGTACAAAAGCACTATGAATGCTTTTGAGCCTATAGTGTCTAAGTGAACTATTAATGAAAAGAGGTGAATACTTAAGAATAAGTAAAAAGGTTTTATGATACCTCGGTACAGTAGTGTGTCCTGTTTGTATCGATGTGGTTAAACCCCACGATACTCCTGTTTGAGCGCTCGTGCTTCGCACCGTGCCGTTTGGGTGACGACCCACGGTACTCCTGTTCTGTTCAGTTAGCCGGGCTGGGGTAATCCCGTGGCGACTCCTGTTTTTGTATCGGTCCGGGTTGTGTCCCGCGATATTCCTGTTGGTGCGAGCACTCCTGTTTCGTGCCTTGAGCACTCCTGTTTCGTGCCTTGTGCACTCCTGTTCGTACCGGATGGGGTTTTGTCCCGCGGTACTCCAGTTATCTGATGGCTGTACATGGTTATCCTGCAGCCTTCCACTACTGTACTACCCGAGGAGTATATCATTTAGCAAGTTTGAAAGTGAAATTGTATAAGCAAAATGCCTCTATCTATCACACGTTGTATGTGTTTGACTGTGATGAGTTGTGAATATGGGAACTTGATTGATTCAGTGGAATGAAAAGTAGAATAAACAGCTTAAGTCCTGTTATGTGCTAGGGTGTTTCTGCCCAATACTGTTTTTGTATTGATGTCGATCTGAGCTTAGAATTTATTCACTGAGCGACGACTCATCCTTCGTCATCATTTTTCCTCAGATCAAGATCAGAAATAAGGTCTGTACTGTAGATATCGGGACTCAAGCGTGAAGGGAAGCCATGAGGTGGGCGGAGGACTCCGAACTCCTTAAATGTTTTATGTTGTGTGGATTTTGTAATAAAGCGGACTTCCCCGGCTTTCTGTTTTGACTGTGATGAAAATGTAAATTATGGTTTGAAGTTTGAAAAAAAAAATATATGTAAAGCTCGGGCCCGAGAATGTTTAAACTCGATGTATTTTACTGTTTCGTTTTGTAATATAAAGTAAGGGTTTCACAGTAACAATAAAGAGAGACAAATATGACGATGATAAAATTGACTGTCGTCACCATATTAAGAGATAGGGTGTCTCACCGAATATTGAAAGAGAGAGAAACTATGACGACGACGGTCACAAATATGAAATAACTAGATATATCGATAATGTCTATAATTTCCTCTTTGAAATTTCAAACTATAGATCTAGATCTCCATATCCATCCTTGAATGAAGGTGCTTTCTCATCCTCCTCAAAGTTGCTAACGGAGAAGAATAATTCATCTTAGTAGCTATGGAGTTGTCCTTTTAAGAGCAGTGACTATATATGTCCACCTTGGGCTCCCTTCACCTACTTCATTAACCATTCTGCTGGTACCTGATCTGGAAATGATTGAATCTTCCAACATCATTAACGCCTCCCCATCTACCAGTTATCTCACAAAGGCTAAATACCTTTGAAGGCCTAAATACCATCTTGTGGGAGAAACAAGGACAATGATATTAACCCAATATTTGTTAAACAATTAATTTCAAGAACATAGGTGTTCTCTTTGGTGAAAGCTTTGAGCCTCAAAAAATGGTTTGGTTTGGATGGTAGGAAGAGAATGTGAGAAGTGTTGAAAAATGGTCATGGAAAATAGTTGTTGGCCTATTCTATCCGTTGTGACAATAACAATAAAAACAAACAAAAAATAACAAGAAAAAAAGAAGAAGTCAGACACGCGACCACTGCCCCTTCTCGCGTGTGCGACTTAGTGTCGGTTGCGCGCCTGGCGGTGTGTCCCTCCCCTCCCTCCTTTTGGCGGCTACACGAGGGTCTCCCCCCCCCCCCCCCCCCCCCCCCCCTCTCTCCACACTTTCGTGTCCACATTGTGAGTCTTTTCCCCTTCTTTTCCTCTCACATGGGTAGTATAATAAACACCGCGAGACTCATCTCTGTTTCTCCCGTTCTCCATTTTTAGGGATGAAAATTAGAACCGTATCGATATATTTAAATTTTTTTTTGGTACAATAGCAATATAAATCGAATTAGATTCTTTCATAGTTAACTAATAATCAAATTAAAAAAAATCCAAAAACGACATCACATTCATTTTTTCTTTAACGATCAACCATTAGTAGGTTGTCAACCTACGGGTCAACCCGCTGGTTGGCCCAATTTGACCCTAACCCGATGAGAAAAATGGTCCATACACACCCGTCGGGTCGACCCGCTGCAAGGTATCAGATTGCAAGTTCAACGACATCATTTTTCTTTTGATTTGTGAAATGCACCTTTTTCGGTATTTCTTTTCGCATAACCCAATCTTTGGAATTCTAAGTTGAACATTGATGTTATATAAGTGTGTGAATTTTCACTATATGTTGGATTCAAGTACGACATGCTATTTTGGTCTAATGTTATATGTTATTACTCATATGTTAGATGTGATTTTATATAATTTATAAATGTATGAACAATATAATGACTTTTACCATATGTATGAGCTAAACCGGTCAGCCCATTAACCCTCAACCCACTTGCTTGACCGGGCCAACGGGCTAAACCGGATTGACAATCTTTCATCACATAATTGGTTCCCAGTTCGCCATTTCTTAGCTATTAAAACAATATTATTTACCGAGCAAAATGTAATTTTTACTTTATAAATCACATATAATTTTTTAGTTGTTTTTTTATTCCTTTGTGAAATATTTTTTAAAGAGTACTAAATTTTCTTACATTCAAGGGGTCGTTTGGAAGTTGCGATTGTTAAAAAGATATATTGTTGCGAATACATGTATAATGATTTACATGTATTCTCGAGTTCGAGGCATTGTAAAATACAACGTTTGGTATGCGTGATTGTGTAGTCATACCAGTTAAAAGATGTGATAAAACAAGGAAAAAATCCAAAACTACCACTATAAAAAAATTACAAAAATACCACACATACTCAACAATTTCCAAAAATACCACCCTTCCACACAAAACGCGCCTTGAAGGCGCGGTTATAAATCAAAACGCGCCTCGAAGGCGCGGTTAACAGTCAAACCGCGCGTTCCATAGGCGGTTTGACCCTTCATGTCTGTCAAACCCCGTTGCCACGTGGCGGCTCATGCGTCCACGCGATGGGGAAGCAATCTGACGGCCAAACCGCGCGCCAGCTTAGCGATCCGCGTCGCTCAGTCAAACCGTTCCCACGAGGCCGGTTTGCGCGTTGGGGAACGTAAACCGCGCGCTGGAGGCGCGGTTTTAGGTGGGGTAAAAAGACAAAACCGCCCCTCCAGCACGCGGTTTCGTCCCTATATAAACCCCTTACCCCCTCCCATTTTCTCCACACCAAACA